CACATTTGGACTTTAATCAATTATGAATGACAGCTAATTAGTGGTGTGCAGGGGCCATCACTCTCTTCAGTGTCAAAGTCTACTAAATGTACTGTATGTCATGTATGGACATTGACAAAAAACCTCTCACCACTCTACAGGTTTGGGTATCTTTTTGCTGAGGAGACTTCACTAATCATCTGTGAAAAGTGCGTGCAGTTTGAGTACATGCACGCGCCCGCTTGTGTGTGTTTATGTGTGAACATGTGCATGTGTTTGATAATAATAAAGCAAGTGAAAATGAAGAGGAGCTAAACTGTGTAAGTCATTTCTCATTTCCTTGCTTCAGTGCCTGTCAGAAGAAAGCCCGGCATTTTGAATGATGGCTCCGACAACAAAAAGTGAATAACAAACCCTGTGGCTCTGAGGAGAGCAATGGAGGAAGAAAAAAAAAAGAGAGGAAGAAAGAAAGAAAGTGTGCAAACTTCAATGACAAATACACCGTTTTTAAAAAATGACCAAACTAACAAACAAACAAAGCAAAATCCCAATATCAACGCTTTGATAATACCACTGAACATGCCCGGAAAGTGAAACAAAATAGAGAAAAACAAAAATCACCTGTACAGTTGGCACTCATACAGTTTTGGAAGGACCTTTCAAGGGTCTGATTTAATGTGAGAGCATCAATCCTTTAGATGCACGGGGCCTTGACAGCAAGTGAAAGTAATCTCTTCTTTATTAATGGGACTTTTCACTTTGGACCCAAGGCCTCTGGTATTCCAGAATAGTAGATTCATAGTACAGACCTAAGGAAAGAACAATATGAAATCAGATCAACTGGATGCGTTACGTATGATAAGTGGAAAGTATTTCTTTCCAAAGAAGCCTCTTCGAGAAGGAGAAGAAGAAAAATGATGAGATGGAAGAAGCCAATCTCTGAAAATAGCTTATTGTGTATTTTGATTAAATGAAAAAGTCTGATGGCATGTGTGGAGAGGGAAACCCTTTCTTCTGATGAGTAGGAACAAAAGAAAACAGTATTTTGTTGCTTCAGTTTAAAATCAATTTCATTTGTCTTCTGGGTCAGGTTGACTAATTACAATCGTCTTGCCTTGTTTTTTGAGAAAACAAATGTTACGATATGGTAACCCAAGGTCTTTAACCACAGATGGCGCCCTGTATTGGATTCTATGGGTGATACTCTCCTCCAATCACAAGCATGCATTTGCAGACTGATCATTTGCATAAGGGTAGCTGGGCAATCAGGACTAGTAATGTATAATGACCAATATATAAGGCAGCACACACCACTGTCGGCGCCTCCTTCATAGAGAGCAACATGTTTATAGAACTACGGTTACAATAATGTAACCTTTGTCCTAACTCACATACTCCACCCTCTACTGGACCAGGCGTACAGTAGGGGCAAGCCCAATGAATGCATGCCCTGCCATGCCATAACATCCACCCAACCCAGTGAGAGCAGCAAAGCTGTCTCTATTTTCTCTATAAAATTGAATATTGATGGCTTAATACGCATCATCAAAGATAAAAACAAACATTTTAGGTATTCTTATTAAGAGCTGAACACTCAAGAACTCAGTTAATCTGCTTAATCATGAGTGTGTGGGTGTTTTTTGCTGAGATGTGATGGACAGTAACCACACATCCCACCAACTGTCAGCTGAGTCCTGCCCACGTCAAACCAGTGACAAGAACACAGAGAAAAAACAATAAATACAATAATCTTTAATGTAAAAATAACCAAAGATGTTTTAAATGTGTTTATGTAGGAAATCATCAGTAAGAAACTGTTTGAGATTATAAGTATTCATGGCCTTTAATTAACCGAAAACCAACTGGCTCAGCTGAGAGAGCTCATTTATTTGTATGTTTTATCAGAGTGCAAGGTTAGTTAGCTGCTACAAAAAGTGCATCTCAACCAATACAAGTCAAACAGGAAATTACAGAACCACATAAGTGCCAAGCGCACTTTGTCAGTGATAATGATGGCTGTGATGGGGCTTGAAGCCGAGGCTTTGTAGTTGAAGGATGACCTCTCTACCGTTCATAACACCACTCTATTGTCTCTTGTGCAGCTTGCTGTTCGGTTTTCACGAGGCAGGGTGAATTGCAATCTGATTTGTCAAAGGAAATGGCAGGACATGCTTTTTTATGTTCATTTTATGCTGCAGTCAAAATGATGATTGGTGATTAGCAACAGGCTCACTAACTCTACGATCACAGAATCACAGTCTGTTCTGCTTTCCTCTAATTTCAGGAAGAAGTCACACTAATCGGGCTGGTGCTTGCAAAATGGTTGCTTCCTAAATTAACATCATGATGAGTATGATATTTTAAAGCTGGTAATGCCTAACCTTAAGTGTATGCGGGCGGCATTGTGGTGTGTTTAATTAGGGCTAACAATGTCACGGCAGTAATTCACGCAGTATTTTGTATATTCACATTTAGTTTGGATTCTATGTGGGTCTTGGTGATAAGTACATTATCAGACATACCTTTTAAATCAGATGGAAACTTAGTTTCCAAAGTTATTTAAAGAGACTTCATGTTTCCACACTGCCTCCTGCTGGCCAGGAGGAAATACTCACAGTATATTATACAGAAGCATTGTAGCTCTGTAGATCATTGACCATTATGGTTCATATTAGAATATTCCTCTCACAGTAATAACTATCCTGGAAATGACAACATAAACAAAAGTTTGCCAAATAAGTTTCCAGCCTAATCACAACGTTGCCCAATTCAATAAAAACAGCCTAAATCTTAACCTTGCCGCAAACCCGTGTCAAATAGTAAAACCAATAAATGTGCAATAGATAACACTTCCTAAGCATACAAAACTTCATATCTGCATCAAATAACCAAACATAAAATGTTAGATGAATAGGCTATACATAAATTGCCATGTCAATGTCAGTAGGTCAATCTGACAAATTAATAAAACTAATGTCAATCAAACAATTATTTTCAAAATTAAATGAGACAGCAATATGAGAGAATGGACACAATGAGGTTTACTGATTTTAGTATCTGTGTTTTTGACCATAAAATGACAGCTGGTTAATATTGTTTCCACAATATTGTCAAAACCCCGCGAAATGTTGACAAAAGCATCACAGATTTCATAGACCAGCTATTTTCCCCGGCCCAGCTTTATCAAATGTAGCCCAATTGTGCAGAAACCAGTCACTCCTTCTTTTGATATTTGATAATCTATTTAATTTGTAAGGGACAATGTACAACATATGTACAACCATTTTATGTATTCTAGTTAGCTTAGCTTAAAGCTAATTTTCATCTGAGGATCCAACAGTTAGTGTGTCGGTCCAGTCCAGCTACAATATACTGAAATGGAAATTAGATTTTCTATTGTTTGCAACTGACAAATTTTTGTACAAGAACCCTGTGAAATAAATACCATACAATAACATGCTAAAAGATTGAGGCTAAAGGTGCATGTCCCAGGCTAACAGTTAGCATCCTTCCTCACAGCGAGAAAATACTACACACTGGACGCTCTAGTTGTGAACCTGCACAAGCTACTGTAACGTCACTTAGTGTGCTTATTGGCCTTGGAAGTTACCTTTTTTGTAAGTTAGTTAATGATTACAGCTTACATTTAACTATATGAACACACTGTCTAATCCATTCCTTACAATTTGGCTCTTTTGTTTTTGCTATTTTGAAAACGGTGAAAATAAAACACACCACCTTCTAAACTTAATATCTTGAGTATTACTCTTACTGCACTTTAGCATGTGGAGAACAGACCTGCCAAACTCAGCTGCTATGCTATGATTGAATCACTGTCGGGGGGAGGGTTTTAGCAAATAGTCAGTTTGTAATGTAAACCGTTTCTTTAGCCAGATCCATCAACCCAAAACAAAATTCAGCTTGAGCCCAAATTGTCTTGATAATAATCGAGTTGCCTCTGGCATGATATGAAACTATCAACTGTCTTGTAAACGAGGCCGCATATTATCCCCCAAACAGCCACCAATTAGCCTCTGCTGAGCAACAAAACAAGTTTCTAAAGTATTTGCCCAGCATTATTAATTTCTTTTCAAAGTCTGACAATCCCCAGGTCTGATCACGATGAGGAAAAGCTCATTAACGGACCAGAGTTGCGAAGGCTCACATGAAACAACATGCAGGAAATGTATTCCATAAATCCCAAAATATTAAAGTTAGCATAATCTTTTAACACATTTGCTTGTCGGATTTGACACGAGCACACATGCTGGGGTGATAACAGCCTCATGTGTGCAGGCTCATGCGTTTGAGATGACTCACAGTTTGCTTCGATATATTATTGAGTGGTGGGTGTCGTTTAGGCTTCAGTCTCTGTAATGTTCCTGCTCAATTGTTTGCAATTTGACATTAATGGGATATGTGGCGAATCAACAAAGGATTGTAATATATAAACATACACATTATTCACATATCATCAACCAGTCAACTTATCTTCATCTTTCCAAGCATCTTACTGTAGTAGCAGAGACATAAGACATAGGGGCCTAATTTATGGAGCTCTCTAATTTGGTTAAAAATGCATTTTCATTAAAATCCTTCTCATTGTACACTTTTTAAAATAGTTTTTACCCCTTTTCTCATATTATTCAGGGTCATACCATTAATTTAAAATGATGGATATATGGACAATATATCTTCTATTAAAAATACTACACATATTGGCCATATGCACTGAGGTGTAACATCAACAATTCAATTCCTCTATCATTGAGTTTTGTTGGATGAAAACTATTAGAGACACTAATAAACTATGGTGATGTTCACAATCACGTCCGTGTCTTTATCTTCATATTCTTTAATTACATTCACATTACCAAATTGCACATGAATGATCTGATCAGCCAAACCTTGAGGCATACATGTTGTTGACGATTCCCCCCCCCCCCCCTTTTTTTTTTTAAATATAAAAATAAGTCTCAAAATCCTTTCAGGCATCTTTTCAATCAACTCACTGTCTGCCAAATGAGAGTCCCCCCTCAAAGACCCTCCAGTGAGCATTGTGGTGCTTTGTGATGAGTTTGGCACTGGGTTTGAAAAGAAGAGCTGAATCTATAACCCGTTCAGAGGACAGAGACAGTTGACGGAGCGAAATCCTTCGCATTGCTGTAATGGGTATAATTACACAAAGAAAGGAGCTGTTAGGTTAAATTACCCGTGACATTCACCGTGGGTAATGACAGAAATTCAGAAGGTTAAATGACACCAGCAGCTGAATGACTTTTGACATTAAGGTACTTTTTGAAAAGGGAATTATAACGGAGCATTTGTGGGCAAATTCAATACCCTCCATGTTGGACTGTGAAGATTGGTTTGAAAGAACTTTAAAAAGACCTTTTTTTTTGAGAGCATCTGTGTCTTTAGAAACCACCGTGAGCCGATGATTTATTCTAAAAAGAACTGGCCGGACAGATTGTTTCCAACAGTGAAAGCTATTTGAAGCTCACTTTGAGTTGCACTGATGTCTGGAAAATGTCCCGCTGAGTGGCACACCTATCATACAAGTAACCACGGCAGCAAAGGAAAAGCTGAACAGATTCAAGCAATTAGTAGTTTCCCTCATATTGTCTCTTACCTCGAGGCTTTTCCAACTACTTTCCAAATAGGTGTGTAAATATATTTGTGTTGACTTTTTCCTCCAGTGAGAACTACATTCTCTCTGGTCTAAAAGTCGACCTTTGTGGACAGCAAACAGCCCAATTAGTGGGACGAGAAGGTGAAGGGGGCTGGACCTGAGCCCCATGCAATTACCTCAAGTCACCCTGCGAGCGGCCACCCACACAACAGACGCGATCGTGTTTGCCAATAATACTGTAAATGGCCAAGAAGAAAGAAGAGAGCCAGGCGCTGTATACATTATATTTTTCACAGCGCTACAGCTGTTGTGTTTCTCAAGTTTCACTCTCTCTATACATTTCAAATGAAGCCTTTTTCTCTTCTCTCAGTCTTACTTTGCTGGAGTTTTGCTGCCAGTCACTCATGCGATGTCTCTCCGCTACTGATTGGCTTACATGAGTCCTGTGATCTGCTCTCTCGTGACTCAACAAAAAGCAGAAAGTCATATCATACAGCATTATACATGTTAAAGAGTCCATATTTAATGGAAACCCCCTTCTGTATGTGAACTCTAATTTCTGTGCAAAAAAAGGCTAATCAGGAAACAAAATCTCTATTGAATAAAATATGTTGCCATACATTTGAGGTATGCATTAATTTATATAATTTCATAATGTAAAATACAAACACTGTACAGTACAAACTGTTCTGAGCAAAAATACAAAATATAAAACATGATAAAAAAGTTAATAATATTACAAATAGTATCAGAATTGTACATTTCACAGGTCAGTAATACTGTATGTGTTATACAATGAGGGTAATAATATCACACTTTAATAACCAATAATTGAAGCATGAATCACATTATTGCACTCTTTGGGAACCCCCCCTTGCATATTGTACTCTCACCCAGCTCATTGTGGTCTAATCTACCTTTTTGGTGTATCCACTTTCTTCTAAGATGGTTTTTCTAGTTGTATTTCAGATTGTGAGGTACATATATCTGCCAAAGTGACTTAATACCAGCTTGTGACTCAACGACTGGGCGTAGACTAATCTGTGCACTCACTATAGTGATGAATTGTCAGAGTGAGGGTAGCAAGAAAATAGTGTACAGTAGAGGAGTATCATGTCTCATGGGTGGATCTCATCATAGGCTATTGGCACTGCTGTACATGCAACAAGTACTTAAACAACACAATAGGTTGTTCGTCAATGCCCTAAAGATCAACCCCATGTTACTGATTAGAAACGATCCACCTTTTGATTAAAGTTTGCTTAAATTAAGTCAAGAAGTACTTGGTAAAGGCTGCAATAATCAAGAATGGATCAAATGACAATGTGCAATGTTAAGCGGCCTCTCGTAGTGATGAACCAACAAAGACTTGTCACCACCTTTGCATTTCCCCTTGTCTTGAGGAGTGCTTTAGCCTTTTTAAACTAATTGTTTTGGTTTTCCAGCCAACAAAGACAGCTCTCAACAGAGTTTTATTTTCAGCTGCAGCAGGAAGCTGTTTTCAGGATAGAATTGTAGTAAACCCTATGTGCGCCCAGTGCAACACAACAGACAGACAAGCTTAACATAGTGATGCAGCTTCCAGCTAAGAAGCCATGTAACTTTTCTCAGGGGCTGGTGAAGAACAAAACAGAGCTAGAAGGAGAGCCAATATTGGACTCTGACTTAAAATGATTTCCTATATTCTTACACATCTGTTTCAACTGGATGTGTGGTAACGCAGTCACCGTAACAACTTCATACTGTGATAATACTGTGTCTTCAACTTGGGAAAGGAACATGGTTATGGTTGGACAACACAAACATTCACTTTTGGTGGAACCGGGGATGCAATCTGGAGTTTCTGGAGAGTAAATAACACGCTTGTACCCTCAACATGTTGTCAGGTCATGCTAAACCCACGCAGCCAATATTTGCACAACCATAAAAGGTCGCTTGTCAGGAAGAACACAAAAAAAATAGAGCAAACAAAAACGGGTCCAAATATGCCAAGCATACGTGAAATTATTACTATTGTGGATTGATTTTACCTTCAAAGAAAATGCTCAACATTTTGTCAAATACACAGAGTTGCTCAGAGTAGTTTGAGAATGAGATACCAATCTCATGTCTGTATGATAAATATGGAGCTACAGCCAGCAGCTAGACAGAAGAAAGAAAGAAAATCGCAGACCAACACCTCTCAATCTTCCAAAGGAAGAGTCGGGCTAACTGTAAGACTGTCACTCTGTCTCCAGTCTTAATGCTAAGCTAACAGGATGCTATAGCATTATATTTACCGTGCCTACATAAGAGTGGTATCGTCCCCTCTAACTATGGGTAAGAAAGAGAACAACCATATTTACCAAATTGTTGAAACGTTCCTTCAAGTAGAACTTCGTGTCACTGATGGGTGCTCATTTTAAATGCACTGAACCGGTCCATCATATAGTTGGGTACGTTTTCCGGTCCGGTCTGGTGTACAAGCCTAAACCGGCTGAACCGATATGACACGTTCTGGAAAATTAAAAGCCGACATCAGCAACCTGTGCCGACGGCATCACAGGCGCTAAATACAGCTTGTATTGCGTTAGTAATAAGTAATATGACAACTCAATTAACATAACATAACACTAATGGAGCCTCTGCCGAGCCAAGGCTGGCAACATGAAGGGGATCAGATGTCTGTAGAGGTGGGAGGCGGAAAGAGTCGCACGTCGTGTTTGTTCAGTAGTAAATGTGTGTGTTTTTGGGGGGTGCTGAGACGAGACCTGGCAGCGTTAGTCTCAAATAAAACTAAAAACGTGCCAATGTGGCAACATTATGAATTTAAAGCCGACGAAAGAGGTGAGCAGAAAAACACAAACAAGGCAAAAAGGCCTCATGGACTCGCTCTGTCTCATTATGTTCATCTTAGGGAGCGGCTGCTGAGTCAAGTGCAACGCCTAGAGGTGATATTATGGTAATATATAGGTGAGATTAGATAAACAGCCATTAAAGGAGAAGAAGAAGAGCACCTCAGAAGATGGTGTCTTCCTCTCCTCCACCATACCACGGGGTGAGTTTAACCATGAAGGGTCTGGGATTACAAACAGGTTGCTCATGTTCAAGCTCCAAAGCGGATGACTCCAGTGAGCTCAGGGATCCTGTGGGAGACCCCGACCCCTCGTATGCATAGGTTCTGAAGCAGTCGAATGGGGGAACGTAAGGATCCTGATCCGCCTCTGCCAGCCTGTCCAGAATAAACTGCCGGAAGACCTCGTCGTCCGGCCCGATGAGGTGGGATTCTCTGAGAGACATCCGTATGCTTGCCCTGACATCCTCCCTCCGCAGCCTCCTCTCCCTCCTCCTCGGGTGGTGTCGCAGCGGGACAACAGGCTGGCAGAAGCCCAGGTCTGCTCCCCCACCCCCCGGTTCTCCGTAGTACAGCACCTTCTGCGACACCGTCTCAGGCAGCTCCAGATCCATCACCTCCACCTCCAATCCCTCCTGCTGCTTACGCCTGTGCCTCCTCACCATGAGCATTAGGACTGACAGCACTGCAGACATAACACAGCAGGAGATCATTACCGTTAAACACCAGGGCATGAGCTTAGTGAGATAAAAAGCATCTAGGGTGCCTGATGGAGCATAGCACGAACTCGTGCACCGAAAATAATGGCAGCCAGATTTCTTTTTCAGTAACTTATTGTGGATGCGGAAAATCTAAATTAACGCAAATTAGGCGATAACGTTTTTAATTTCAGCTCACACATAAAAGAAGACTTCTTTATTTGCTCCATGCGGCACAGAATGCTAGAAGATTTTATTCTGCCGTGTTTTCATCGGGTATTGTGCTCATCCAACAGAATGTTAGCATAGCAGGTATTGTCATTAATCTTTCATGTGATGGGCACAGAGGGGACACAAAGCAGCCGAGGTCATAATAAAGCTCTTCACTATGCAAACCCATCAATGTCCCAGGATGGCATTGCTACTGATAAATTGCAACCAGTATGCTCATTACCTGACATCATCGCCCTGCAAGCTTTCAGCATTTACAAAGTGTTTGTTAAAGGCACGCTGGTGAGTTTTTAAAAAGGGAATCAAATGAAAGAGCAAATTTGTTAATGAAAAATCCTGCTGTTTAACACACGTTTATGTACTTGCCAAAATGATGTGAGGCCGAGCTGCTCTAGCTCAACAGATCCGCTGAAAAAGAACGACTTTTTTACAAAACAATATCATCCATCCATCCATCAAACATCCATCCATCCATCAAACTATACAGACTTTTGGGGAGTTTGATCCTCGGTTACCTTAATATTTAAGGACAGTAAGTGAATTAATCATAGAAGTCTGGCAATTATTGAAAGTTGTCAATGTTTTCTATCTTCTGAAAATCTCAGTCTATATTGTTAGTGAATCCTTTTGTGAGGCCACCGTGCAGAAACAATCAGCTCGCCAGTACACTTCACTTCTTTTGTGTAAACAAAACAGACTTGAAAAAAGCCTCTCACGCCTCTCTTGTCAATCACACTGAGGTCTGGAGAAACTCTTGCCAAAAAATATCATATATTGATGTATTCAGTAATATTTTTGACTTGACTTCTACTAGATGTTGTCAGTTTTGGGGCTCTACATTTAGACATCTTTCATTAAAATAACCAACATTTCGAGCCTTAAATGTGTTATTTTCTCATCTTTATGTTTCTCATGTGGGGCAGCTGTGGCTGAGCGGGTAGTCCTTTAACCACAAAATAAAAGGTTCAATCCCCAGCCAGCTTCTCCTCTCTGCATGTCAAAGTGTCCCGGAGTGAAACACTGAACCCCAAAGTGGTCCCTGGGTGATTCACAGCAGCCCACTCACCCAAAAAGAACCAGTGTATTCCTTTATATACTGTACATCCTTATTATATCATGGATGGATATTCTGGACTTGGATGGAATGTGAATACAAAATAAATCTGTGCTTTCTTACCGCCGAGTGTGACGAGGCAGACCACTAGCCCTAACAAGGTTTGCAGGCTGACACCCATGGACAGGGCGAGGGCCTCCACCCCCCCTAAGGGACAATGGCCGGCAGGCTGGCAGCTGCATACACTGATGGTCAAAGTGCTGGTGCTGGAGAGAGCTGGAGAGCCGCTGTCTGTCACCACAACGGGCAGGAGGTACTGGGTTCGATCCTTGCGTGTAAAAGTGCTCCTTCGTGCCACGATGCTGGCTGTGTTGTCTAAAAATGAAGCAAACAGAGGTGCACTTTGAGCGCTGATATTTTGGAATTCAGCTGACACACGTAATGCGATCCCAGCTCTCTGAAAGGCAGGAGAACCTTGTCAAATGTAATTTTCAGTGTGTACAAAAGTCAATTTGGAAAATCTGGTAAGACTTCATCAAGTCACCTAACAATAACCTTTTGGAAGTCAGATATGCCTTGTGCCTTTCAAAAATGGGTTTTATTTAATGTGTGATTCATTATTAATTTCCTGGTTGCTGACTGGTCTGCTGTGCTTGCATGGCCAACCACCAGCACAGTTCACCTGCATGCATTTCATTCAGACTTATCTGGTACAATCAAATATCCCACTTGATATCTGCTGCCCGTTTTCATTATAAACTTTGAGAACAGGTTGACCGCCCACTGAGTACAAGGCAAACACTCTGCCAATTCACATACTCAAGGGGCTGTCAAACACACAAAAACACAAGGATTTCATTCCAAAATGGCAAAAAACACTTACGGGTAACATAGTGTTCATTTAAATTCATCTTCTTGCAATCATAACAATATGCCGTAATGTTGCCTTCGTCACACAGTTGTACCACTGCTCATACAGGTTGCGGTTAAGCCGCAGCTCATTCCTCCAGCCACCAAATGGGACCTTAAGTATAGCTTCATCTGGTTTCATGTAGTCCCTTGTGTCCCACAGCTTAAAGCCTCCAAACAGAAAATGTTAGTAATTTACTGGATGAAATTTCCTGCAGCAACACATTTAGTTCATGCTGAGTGTGTCACTGCAGCAGTGCTGTTAGCTTAGCACAAAGACCAGAAACACATACGAATTATATTATATACGAATTACATACGAATGCATTGTTTCCAAACAGTGGTTATTGATACTTTCACTCAAGGCAGAGATCCAAACATGTCTTCCAGCATTGCTACATGATTATAACCTTGATTGTCTCTGATAGTGAAGTTTGGATTGATGTGCTTCTCAGAGACCATGGAGAAGTAGAAGTGGTGTCCCTCCACAGGGTCGTCCAGGTCGACAGCACTGAGCAGCTGAATGAGCTGAGAGACACAAAGACACATCTCTGAGAAAATATAAGCAGATTTTATTTGTATTTCAACTGACAATGTTGTGGATGTATTATGGTATTGAGCTGTTCAATACTAAGATGGCTCCTTGTGTGACATTCAAGGTTTAAAAATAGTACATTGATGCAATACAATATGTTGCAATATGAAAATGTTTGCTGTCCACCTCATGTAAATTCTCAATGATCCTATACAGTAAATCATGAATATCAGTGGATCATAATATACATACTTCTCCCGCCTGTGTTCCCTCACAGATAAATGGCTGGTAATCTCTCGCCAGCCTTGGCACATTGTCATTTATGTCCAGCACTTTGATGAACACCACCACGGAGGAGGATAAATGGTTCAGCGCTGCAGTAGTGAAGATAGACATTTGCTGGAGTCAACTGGGTTGCGTGTATCATAAATGCTTTCTAAAAGCTCTGTCAAAATAATACTTAAGACTGATGACTGTTTCTTCTTTTAGAAACATGACTCAAAAAAAAGGGCGACGGCGTTTCTCTTCAAACGAAGACAAAATGAACATTAAAAAAACTGTGAAAAAGCAAATTCTTCTAAGAAAATTTGAGGTTTTTGCGTCACTCTAGATCAGTGGTCCCCAACCTTTTGAAGCTACCCCCTTCATTAATATCTCCTGATGTTAAGCTAATTTTAAACTGGATGTTATTTTGCACGTTTGCTTTTAAAATTGGACATTGTTAGCAAACAATAATGTCATATAATTGAGCACTCAATGTTTAGATCTGCCAGGTTTGCATTTGTACGATCACTTAAAGCTGCTGAAGCTGGACAATTCAACCATTTATTGATTACTCTCAGCTAATAATTTCAATTATTCATCAAAAATGTATAAATAGCTATTTCAATCTTTTACTTATTACTTTTAGATAGTTCAGATTATCTCTTTACTTTTAGCTAACTATTCAGCCTGTTCTCATTAACTGTTGGTACTTATATCTACAAAAAGTAATGCACCATAATTCGTATATAACTCACGTAATCAGTTGTGAGCCAGGACATGAAGGAATGCCTCTAAGGAAGTCAGGAGACGTGATATAAAACCTGACAAAGTCTACATGGGGGACAGGATGGACAGACAGGACACAGGACTTTCACCCAGGAGACCGCTGCTCTTGTCGCCAGGAAACCACAAGTCTAATCTTAATTTTAATAATTTTTGTTATGTAACTTGCATAGTTATCTTAACTACAATCACGATCTTTTCCTACACCTAACCAAGTCGGTTTGTTGCCTAAACTTAATCAAGCCTGTGCAGTCTCACTGATCGCTCGTGCTGCTGGACATTCGAAGGACAACGTACAGCATGTTGAACTATTAAGACCATTTATTCATTCATCACTTTTGCAATAAATTCTATATCGTTTAGTTAGCCACACTCTCAATCTCAACATGTCTTGTTTACAGCTGAATACATTTTCTCTTGACCAAACCGTAGCTTATATTTTTCTAGTTAATTAACTGCATAATCTTTCCACATTAAATCAGACAACCACTGTGCCCCCTGGGGTACTTCTGGCTGTGAACCACTGCTCTAGACAAAGACGTGTCATCAACACATTGCTGTTAATATATTCTGAACAGGTTTCATGACTGAATGAAAGATAAATGTGCCATAAGATGGCTATATCAACAAGATGCTATTGAGCAAAACACGGACAGTCTCTTTACTTGTTTCCTTGGCTTCAACAGTCACATTGTACCAGTTTGTAGTCTCCCGGTCCAAAGCTTTAGCGACAGTTATAGTTCCATTGTTTGGGTCTATTTTGAAAGCTTTTGTGTTATCACTCCTTTTGTCAATCGAATATCTGGAAGAGAAACCACAGAGACACACATTTAACAGTTGAGGTTGCTTTCTGGGCCAACAAAACATTGTGATACCACGGGGAGATTAATTAGGCAAACTGCTCATTTTCTTAAATCTGTTGACAGATATCCAACAAAGAGAGCACGCGCACCAGCTAGTGTGACAACAACACTGAAGACAAAGCATCTCACACAGATGGCATGGACACAAGTTTATGTATTCTTTCAGTTATTTAAACATGACAACAGACCATATATAGTATATTTGTGTTCAGTGAGGAAATGTGATTTAAAAACAGTGAGGCAGGGAATCTTGTAAATATAAGGGAACTTTGTTCAGTCTTTTTGGAATGAATAATAAATAAATAAAAATATGTCACATGTGGTGCAGCTGCAGTGACAGAACACACATTACCGTGTCTTGTTTAGTGGGTGACAAGTTAGTGCCAGCGATTTATTTATGTTAAAATACATAATGTAAAATAAACATTAAATAAAAAGCATCATCCACAGACCAAGCAGAATTGTTCATGTAAGACATACCGCAGAGGTCTTTCACACTACCATACCTTTAGGACTCAGTAATACATGTGATTATAACACCATGGTGAATTAGGGTAACAAGGAGTGAAACACACTGACTAATGAATCATTTCTCTGAGCCACTTTTCTAATAACACGGAAAATAAGCCAATTTGACCAAAGCAAACTCAATCATATTTAGAAGAACTGTGGAAACCCCTTAAATGTCAGCCTGAATTTATTAATCAATGAGACACTGTCTCCAAAGGGACAGTAATACACGCTAGGCTGAGGATGATATGCAGCACCTGCCACTCTTAAGCTCTGCTGAGATGGACTACAGGCACCAGTACTGCTGATGTCTCCTCTGCAACGTGCCCCAGTTGCAAATGACTGCAAATCTCAATTCCATATGCCATGGCGTATGGTGCTTTATTACATCCCTACGTCCTAGCCACGTCGCTTTGTGATAATACCACGGCAATAGATAGAAAAGCCTGTGAGGTCTAAAAAAAAAAAAAAAAGAATCGTCATGATTTATTCAGCGGGGCTCATTTCCTACTAATGTAATGTGAGATAAATACGACCATGTACAGAGTAACCAGAGATCAAGGGTAAAAATGGATGCACCGAGCCAGTAACGCTTTCTGAAATGGAATGACTTTTCCGCCGTGTGGAGGAAGCTGTCTAGGGACGTTACGACGTTACGCCCCCACCAGCTTGGGCATCTGCCTCGTCATTATCATACTTGCAGTTGTGTGGCAGGTGCCATTCTTCCCGGTTTAGATGGTTCACATTACTGTACCTGATGGGATTGTTGACTGTGTCAGTGTCTCTGGCACTAACACTGCCAACCGCAGTTCCTACAGCTGCATTTTCAGGGATTTTCCACTCGTAGGCCACTGAGAGGAAGACAGGCGGCTCATCCACGTCCTCCACGACAATCTTGAGCGTTGTCCGGTCCCTGAACTCCTCTAGAGTCAGAAAACGAGTGTCCACCTGATCATTGACCGCCTCTGCGGCCATGACAAAACGTCTTTTGGTTTCATAGTCCAAAGGCTGGGAGAAAAAGAAATACCTTTTAAACAATTCATATTAATACAGAGGCTCCTATAGGCAGAGAACACCTGGTCCATTATCATTAAGCAGGCTTAAAGAGTAACAGCTTCCCAAATATGCTTTGCCAACTTGAATTTAAGACAGATGATTATTCCTGAGGGAGCAGGACACGACTCTGACTGGACGTTAAAATTGTTTAGTCAATGTCAATAAGTTCCCAGCTGTGAACATGCGCTTAAATAATGCTGCGTTTAATAGCTTTTTTTAACATTATGATCCCGGTAATAAGAAAACAGCATGAAAACCATTATTGCATTTCCAAAATGATTCAGAGACGGAGTCGATAATGTGTTTGTTATTTCATTATCACGCCATCTAAATTGAATTCTCCTGTGCGATGAAGAAGTATACGATACGTGGGAGAACAAAAACACAGAGCACAAGTCTGAGAAGAAAGCAAGAGTAATCTGAGAGTATATTTAGGACCGTTAGGTGATGGAATGTAACAAAGTATATTTACTCAAGTACCTTTAATTCAGTTATACGAAAAATATGAACCAACAAATAGAATATAATGCATTATTAGGGATTCAATTAACCAGGTGAATGAATTTAGCCCCACCTTTGACAGCTGCAACATTAAAGTGATGAACACATCGATGCATCAATAATCACAATTCAGTTGTTTGATTATTATGAATAATAATAATTCTGAAATGGGTCATTCTGCACAGTGGGTCATGAGCACTCTTTAAGAATACTTTGATGCTAATACGTTTGTGCTTCAGTAAAATATTGAATGCAGGACTTTTACTTGTAACAGAGTATTTCTACACATTAGTATGGCTACTTTGACTAAAGAGACCTCAGTGTTTGTGCTAAGCTAAGCTATCTGGCTGTAGAAAAGACTTGAGAGTAAAGTCTTGGCAAGAAAGTGAAAAACCGTTTTTTCCCCAAAATGTCCAAGCTTGCTTCAAGGCTGTTGCTCACAGACTCGCTCTATTCAACTATTTTGCCAGTAAGTAGACAAATGTGGCGGCTTTTTCAGTGCTAAAATTAAAGACATTTCACATTGTCCCAAGAGGCATACAGTCCTCGTCCCTCTACACAACTAACTGTACAGTGATCCCTCATCTAATGTGTTAATTAGATACAAACTGGCTAATTTCAGGGCTGACATGCAATCATCAAAGCAAGCGATTTACATTCTCCATGCTCAAGCTGAAGCCTATAGCATTCACTAGTTTATTGTGCACATTGGCTCAGATTACGCTGCTATATGTTCGTGACCTGGAAAGGAGTCAATATTGCTGCCAGGTGTGTGGCTCTGTGTGGCTGTTGGGTGCCTGTGCCAGGCTCTTACACTGTTGTGTCTGGTCGGCTTTGATGCTGCTGCTGCTGTTGTGTCTGCCAGCTGTCTTGTGTGCGCGCAAAGTGCAAGGATATGTTGCCGTGCCCTCTATCAGCCGAAATGATTTTTTTAAATTTAGTTGGTGTCTGTAATGTTAATTAAATCCCTAACGCCGGAGATTAAAAAGGAGTTTTTGTAGAAATAATGTCTCAGAACCTAACGGCCCCTGTGCCCACTGATACTTTGATTTCTGTCTGCACTACTGCCCTTCAAACATCAGATTAAATAAAGCCATATAAAATTCATATATTAGACAAAGTGATAATGTAGTGTATGTATTCACCTTGGCTAGCAGAACCACTCCCTCCTGCGTCACTGGATCTGTTTTGATGATAAAAGTGGAGCTTTCCTCCAGGTCATCCTCCAGACTGTAGGTCATCCTGGCATTGATGCCAGTGTCTCCATCCTGTGCCATAATCCTGCCCACTGTGGTGCCCACTGCTGCATTTTCAGGGACGGCAAAGGCATACAGGTCTGAAGAAACAAGGATGTTTTAAAAGATTAGCCGGAGAACGTTGGAATAGGATTTTAGAAAGGAATTCAAAATCTTGATGATGTGAAATTGGTGCTTTTGCAGCATGTAATGCAAGCTCACTTTCGGTGAAAACGACAAATAAAAAAAAGTTTCTGTATTAAAACATCGCCTACGGAGCTTGACAGAAAGTTGTTAGTAGCTAGTCAAGAGAGTATAGTGTGTAAAGTGATAAGAAGGGAGAACATTGTGGTGGAGGGTCAATTTGTGAGTCACAGATAAGTTGTGGCAACTCCACATAATCCCAGCAACTCTCTAATAAGCAGATGAGAAAATGCGATTGTGTCTTTGAGTGACTCTATTTGGACGGCTGCCACAACTGGGAGGAACTCAACAGCAACCAGCTGCTCCTGAAAAACAAAAAAAAAGAATCCCTGATAATAATTACCAATTATGTTACAAAATAGAGGGCGCAGTTCAACGTGAAGTGCGGTCATGCAATATTTATAAGGCCTTTTGACTCAACGCTGAATCCGAGGGATACAGTAGCACCGGCAATGAATGTGAATGTGACATTAATAGTTAAAGGTATCATCCTTGCTGTCTCATTTCTACAAAATTGATTTTTTCCCAGGGCATTCATTTAGTCGGGTTTATCATGGAGAAGCCTAGGTTTGTTTCTAAAGGTCATGACAAATGTCCTTTCATGTGTGAATGATTAAATTCATCCAGTGGGCGACGCGTACGCACGTGCACGAGCAGATGAACATCCCCATCTCCTTTCTCCCATCTCGCTCACTCTCTCTCTCTCTCTCTCTCTCCCTCTCTCTCTCTCTGTCACATTCTTAGACCGTCTCCTTTTAATTTCAGCTGCCGGCTGAATAACAAGACGTGCACAGCCGCATGCAGCGCCGGAAGCATAAACCCACCCACCCGAACCGGAGAAGTGTGATCAAATAAATGCCTCTTAGATGCAATATTAAACATCTCCTCGCAGTCTGCAACGCTTTGTGCTCTTTCATTGATTCCCGGAGTGTGTATGGCCTGGTGTTTGCATCACTGTGACTCGTAGAAGTGACTCACGATGCTGGAAAGTGGGTCCGTTGTCGTTGACATCAGTCAGGCTGACGGTGACGGTGGTGGAGGAGGAGTAACCGCCGCTGAGACCGAGCATATCCTTCACCTGCACCACCACCAGGTACTGCTCTCTGGCCTCGCGGTCCATGTTTTGCCATGACGTTACAACAATCCCTGCAGGTGGAGGAGACAGACAGAGAGGAGGTATACAAGAGGTTCATAGGATGCCATCGAGTGTATCTGTGGGTGGTTTTCTGTGTTTGTTTTATTCAAAATATGAGTAAACTTTGCCTCCAGCAGTCTTCAAAGGTGCCTGCAGTAAAACTGCACCACTATAAATTGAAAATCTGCAAACTTCATTAATATCAAGAGGGCTTTTAAATGACTAATGCTTCCTCCGTTTGGCCAAAGTGGAGACTGTGGGCAACAGTAAACAGAACAATTAGAATCAAGAGAATTAGACGCTATTTTTGCCTAAGACGTCAGCATTTAAACTAGTTATTCATCTAATGTTGTTTTTAGATTACATCATTTTTTCATCTTATAGTCAGTCATTTGTATTGGTAAAACACCTGCCTTAGCCACCTGGTCAGTTTTTATCTTTTTTAAGGATAACAATATTTGTCAGTGTGTCTTTCATTATGTTGTCTGTCCGTCTCAAGTCTATTCATTCCCAAAAAAAAAAATCCTTTTTTAGAAGATGTTACACAAAAAGGACTAAATAGTGTATTTGTTGGGGAGTATAGTTTTAGCAGAGGGTTATTACAGATTTGATGTAATAAATATTCATCAAGGCTGTGAAGTGTGAAGGGAAGGAACAGCGATCAGGTATAAAACCTTCTGCTCTGAAAAGTGAAGCCAAAGGGGAGGAGCCTTAAACTTGCATTCTTTCCAATAGACAAAAATAAGTCTGATTGTATAGAAGTCTATGAGGAAATATATATCGGACTTTGGAAACAGTATTTGCTCCTAGGATCAATTCATTAGTGGTTTTGGTCTTTATGAAGTATCTCCAGGCTTATGCTTAACTGAAGCCATGAGCAGAACTAACTTATATTAACTGCTGCCCACTCCTCGATGAACAGTTGGTTCCCCAAAAAAAGTCAGATTTACCCTTTTACACATTGCATTCATTTGCATGTTAAAACTTTTCTGACATCAATAATGCCATTCCCCAAGTCTTGACAGCAGAGGTCAACAATGTGTGTGGGAAGTGCTGCAACTGACCTCTGTATCACACAAATAAGTAGTGTAAATGTACATGCATTGGCATCAATTGAACCAGACTCCTCGTAGGGGTGTAGATACTCACATATTCCCCAATGGCTTCGAAACAGTAGCTAAATCTGTGAATAGTTGTTTAAAGGAAAACAGTTGCCAGGGGAATATATACAATTTTCAAAGTGATGAGTAGTGTATCACTTGTCAAAAGTGACTAGGACCAGAGGGAGGAAGCCAAAGCTAAAACTGATTTCAGTCTCAAGAGTCTGAGATTGAAAACATTTCTGCCCTTCTGTTTGTTTTTTAAGCCCACTCGCTATGAAGCTAAACATTATTTCTGCACAGCCAAATCTCTAGTGCGCCTCCCTAAGAGCCCAAACTGTGGCTGTCGAGATATTTGTGCAGCTAACTAAGATAACAACTGAAGTCAGTACAGTTCAATCTAAAAGCCTCTTTATCTGGAAGGGTTTACCCGTCTTTGGCTCCACAGAGAAGTAGGGCTCCCCCTGCAGGATGGAGTAGATGAGCTTAGCGTTGTTTCCAAACATGGGATCATCAGCATCTGTGGCTGTCACCTGGGCCACTGTGGTCCCTGTGGGGGGGGGAGTGGATCACAAAGTCAGAGTTAGCTCGGGCAGCAGTTCCAGTCGACGGGGAAATAAAGTGATTATGCCACGGTCCCGCAGGGTCTGTCTGTCTGGCTCAGGGGGGGCGCAGTGGAAATGGAAGGAGGGAGGGAGGGGGAGGTTGAGGTAGGGTTTCGGGGAGGGATGTTGACAATGGGGAGGATGGTGGGGGAGCAGTGTTGGCCTTTCACAACTCAGTAAGGCTGTGCAGGTGTGTGTGACAACCTCCGCAGCCCTATAGCGACATCTCTCTCACCGTCCACCTGCTGCTCGTTTTCTCTTCATCGCGTTCTCATTCAGCTTCGCCTCTCTATCTTTCACACTTACTACCCTTTTCTCCACTGACCATATCCTCTCCCTCAGCCCTCGTCCATCTTGTTCTTTCTTTTTCTTTTTTTCCCAGAAAGCACTCTGTTTTTTTTTCTACACAGGCAGGGGTTTACCACAGCATTCCAACCTTCCCCTCTCGCTTTCTTTCTCCGAGTCAAATGCATTATGATTTATTACGAGCGAGATATTGCTGCAAAAGCAGATTACATATAAATTGAAATGGTAATGTTTGTGGTATGAAAGGGCAGTGGTTATAATAACATTATATAAGAAATGTATCCACAAAGGCATCCGAGCTACAATTCACAATCCAATACTTTTAACTTCCTGAATGGGGACAGATGACAGACATTCATATAACCTTTTGTTCATTGTCTTCAGTCAAGATTTAAGTGAAGAAAAATAATTTTAAAAGTACAACTCTAGAAACAATAAAGCCAATTGCAAGTTTGTATCTGTTAAATAGCAAAGTTGAAATTTTATCCGTAAACAAATTTGTTTGTACGAATAATATGTTAAATACATAATTCCCTCGACACATTGGAATCATAAATAAACCATTAGCATATAACAGGTCTTACCAAAACCAGGCATTAAAAAGTCAATATGCATAATTTACAACATTTTAAATGATCGCATTATGCAGATGTTTGGAGTTCAGTTCAATGTGTTAGCATGCTAATATTTACTAATTAGAAAAAAAACCAAATGTCATTGGGTTTTTTGGTCACAAACCAAAGAAGTACAAATTTAGATTTTGTTGCTAGATGAAAGGTAAGGGGGTCAACCCTTGGAGAAGAGTAATAGCTGTACAAACTCTCAACTCATGTAACAATTGCCAAGATATTTCAGTCTGAACTAAAGTTGGCGACATCAAAAGTAACATTCTTCAAAATCCCTTTTCTGGCTAAAGCACAGACCTCACTGTCAACTGATTTTTATACAAGTACTATTCATTCACTGTAATGCAGTTCCAGTAAAAACTGATAAGAGTGAGTGGGGTCTGTGGATCACCCTGAGTAATAGGGACATTAGGAGGGAATTTTGGAAGCGGTTTTTGCTGTTGAATTTTCAGCTTTCTTTGAAACTGACATTTCAAAAATGTCATGAATATCCCTTCACCTCCACTGAACATCTCTTTTAACCTGCCTGTGCTTTTTTTTTTACTGTTAAAACTTTCCTCTCGTCTTTCAAAAACATACCGGTTGGACACATCTCAGGGATGCTGGACACATACGGTTCGTTCTGGAACTGCGGGACATTGTCATTGATGTCCTGCACCTTGATGATGAACTCTGACTCGGGTTCCTCTGGTTCATTGGACCTCCTGTTGATAGCCTGGGCTTGAAGGACGTAGAAGGCCTTTTCCTCTCGATCGAGCTTCTTCAGTGTCCGGATCTCACCAGAATACTCATCCATCTCAAACGCATCTCCGGCCCCTTCTCCTGATAATATGTACTTGATGGAATATTCACCTCGGTCATAGTCGGATTTGAGCTGCAAAAAGAAGAGGGGGTATATGAAAGCTTGATTTGAAAAAATAAAAAAACTCAGAGGTAACCAGAAAACAAGCTTTTTCAAAGAGAAGCAGCGTGTCAAGGACATGGAGGACATTCAATCTGAAATGGTACCTGGCCAATAACGCGAGGAGTGGGATCTTCCTCGGGGACAAACAGCTGTTTCCAGATCCAGCCTCTCTTCAGGCGACGGTGCAGATGAGTGGACCCTTGGGCCAATTGTTGGGCTTCCAGACCCTGAGTACCTCTCATATCGCTCAGCACCCCGCCAGGAATCATAGAAAAGACCATAACGATGGCCAAAACACTCGGCATGCTCATTTTTACTGTCCACCCGTGCATTTCCTCTGCACTGCCCATGGTTAGTGGACAGAGGATGGAGGTTTCACTGGTCCAGTATTACCAATTCTTCATTCAACAGCAGAGTAATTCATGATCCCGGCAGAGCTGTATCCCATCTCGTTACGATGTGGTTTGTATGCATGCTCATGTCTCTGAAATAAAAGTTAACAATTTAATTAATGGCTGCAGTGAGAAGTTTCCAGCAGTGCACAGCGCTTGCAAAATGAGGAAATTTAAGTCTCTGGCACTGTGGAATTCAAAAATCAAGTGTTTAATTTGACAAAGCTTTAAATACATATGTGGAATATTCTGTATTTCTTCACAAAGCTCCATTTGAAGGTTGTAGAATAGAAAGTCAAAGCTGACTTGGAAGAGTTTACATGCAGTAAATAAAAAAAAGACTGTATTCTATATTAGCGATTACAAACAGGGTGTACTTGTACCTCAGGGAGTAGCTCTGCAGTTGCTTGGTTTAAAAAATCAAATATGAGCATGAATACGTGCCGTGATTGAGAGTACATGTAAACTAGTTAGTGAGTGTGAAGTAAACGTGTTAGCTAAACATCCATCCATCCATCCATTTTCCTCCGCTTATCCGGGGTCGGGTCGCGGTGGCAACAGGCCAAGCAGGCTGACCCAGACTTCCCTCTCACCGGCAACATGTTCCAGCTCATTCTGGGGGATCCCGAGGCGTTCCCAGGCCAGCTGGGAGATGTAATCCCTCCAGCGTGTTCTGGGTCTTCCCCGGGGTCTCTTCCCAGTTGGACGTGTCTGGAAAACCTCCAGTGGGAGGCGTCCAGGCACGTGTTAAACGTGTAAACGTGTTAGCTAAACATAATAGATAAACTGTGTGAATAAAAAAGTCTGCTAAAATTAATTAACTCTTTCAAAATATTCAAAAATCTTAATCCATTACTTGAAGCTAACTATTTCAACCGTTTATGATAAATGGTTGAAATGGTTCATGTTATATGTAAATAGTTGCAGCTTCAGCCATTTTAAGTTATTAGCACAAATACAACATTTACCAAACAAAACAAAACATTGACGGTTCAATTGTATGAAAACATTATTGTACCCTAACAATATCCCTTTTATAGAACTAATAGTGTTCAACAACATCCAGGTTAAAAGTAAAATTCAACATGATGGGTGGTGTCGATGAAGGCAACTCGAGGTCAGTGCGGCTATGGGGCTTGGCTGAGAACCAAGTGTTCTCCTTGAGCTCTGTGATGACATTAGGATTATCCTTTTATCTATCCCAAGAGTTACATCAAATCTGTTGCACAACAGCAACTCAGATGTATAACAAATTCAACTAAGAAAGCTGGATCCCGCCATGACAAATTCCTTGTATGTGAAACATGCATTGGCAATAAACGGTTCTGATTCTGATTCTGATCAGGGATTGCATTTTACACGACAAAGACAAACCCTTTGTTCGTTTTTTTGTCTTGCATCCTGCGGTCCTGCACAGGCGTTTGAAAACAGCCCTCTGTTTTGAATTCACACAAGGCTCTGCATTGTGCTTCACTGGGGGGTGGGAGCAGTTCCTGAACATCATTCCTAAAGCATGACACTGCACTCTGCAGCTGACTAATGAAGATTCCTAATTAGATCAATGTCTCCCCAGACATGGAAAACAGAGTCACACATGCCTCTGACAAAGTATAAGTGGAATCGATGCAATTATAATGTGCACGCAGGGTCAAGAGTGAAAGGACAATGAAAGTCAGACAAGACGGCAAATTAGTCAAGACAACATAAATACAATATCTTAAACCTCCCCTGTCAAAGTTAACGGAGTTGAACTTCTACAAATTCATCAATTCCCTTTAGATAAACAGATTAACTGTGGTGTGCTTTTCATTCTCTTTCTACTAGCAGCAGTAACGATCCACTGTCAACGTGTCAAAGAGACAGAAATATCACTTGTGTAATCACTGGCGTCAACCTCGTCTTTTCCCTTCAGTAAATTAGCAATTAATTTCTCCTGTGAAATTATTATTTTTGCGTCTGCAGCAGAGGTGTGTTTGCCCGGAAACTATGGATGTTCCTTTGCTTTCTCATCACTTTTGTCTTACAGTTGTTTGCTTTGCGAAGCCACACAAATGATTTGTCTAGACACGAAACCCTGAACCCGACTTTACTGCTCTCCAGTCAAGCAGCAAACCATACATCACCAGTCAGTGGGATCAGATGAGGAGTAACGGCCATAATTCTAAAGCGTTCTAATAGAGCTTTTCTGACACTGTTATATCAGCACATAACATATAGAGTCCCAAATATGTGGACGCCTTAATCCAAAGTGCTGCGCAGGAGCGCAAGTGCATGCATTTTTAGCATGGGTGGTCCCGGTGGAAATTTAGAATATACTTCGGGACGTCATTTCGGCAGTTAGAGTAGTTGCAGCGTTAATGCTTAACAGCTCATAATGTTCATGTTTAATCTTGTAAAACTAAATTAGCTGCCAAGACCCATTTGTAATGGGCTGGTAAAATCAATTACTGATGCAGGCATTTCTGAAATTCAATTTCCATTACAGACCGTGAATGAGAGTATGTGTTTGTGCTTATGTATGTCTTTACGGGCCAGATTCAAATCTCCGAGCACTTGCGGAGTGACAGTCCAATTAGTAGCCAGTGAATCGTGAGCCGTTATGGTCTTTCATGGGGCTGCCAAGCACGCGCCCAAACTGAACGCCTTGAGTCAAAACTAGACAACGGCCCTCAATGATGTTACTCTGAGCAACTGTTTTGGCTGCCAGCATGCCAAGGAGTCTGCTTAAAAAGAATCCTTCCCGGGGGTATCGGCCTTTACTGATGTGGCTGGAATAGTGCACAGGTCAACAGATGTTTAGGTGCCAATTTAACAAGATGGGCCTTTCTGGAAATAAGTGATGAAATTCTGGGAAAATAATGAGGAGACCATGAAAACTTCCAGCTCCAGGTCTGTGAATAGCAACGGTATTAGGGAGTTGGAAAAACACATGTCCATGTGTGACAGCTAACGTGATGGTGCTTGATCATAATTGTGGCCATATAGTCCATATAGTGGTAAGCCTATAAAAACACAAATCAATCAGGTATCATTAACTGGAGAATATGCCCTGAGAGGAGTCAAGAGAAGCTAAAAATATCCCCAAGAAACATTAAACTCTACATGGTCAATTTTCTCCTTTCAAAAGAAACTCATTTCTACATGACATGCAGAGTGCCCCGTGGTTGACAGCCATTCATTAGCTCGGATAGGCCTTCCTCCCATATCCAGCACAACCTCTTGTAGCCTGTATGTACACTCCATGCCTCTCTACCACATGACAGAATGACAATGAGCTGCAGTCTCACAATGTTAAGCACCAGATTATGCTGAGACCGTGGCATTATTTGTCCTATATGGCGATGTGTTCTAGTTAATAAAATGTCGCTCCGTTGTAGGAATGGTTCGGGGATGCTGTTAAAGATGTTTAAAGCGTGGCAATAACGGAAAAGAATCTTCTACTTGACATTGTGAATGACGCATCAATATGCACTGCCGAACGCTAACTGCTAAGTAATGCCAACTCTATTTGAGCATTAATTATGTAGTTTTTCCAGCACCATGGAAGAATACGAAAAGGTGTAAAGCTAAAAACGTGACAATGGATCTGAACACAGACTCTATAGCTATCTGCAACCTTGAAGGCAAATCCATCTGCTAAGCCTCGCTTCTTTAAATTCACCCTTCCAAGACAATACGTCCTTAATTGGTCATTTGGGAGCCTATCATGGGACCTGATGTTTACTGTTCAGCTCGGTAAAACAACACCGCTGACATGTTGTTCATGTTTCCTAAATCAGGACCTCAAATGAGTCCAGAGACTGAGCGAGAGCAACGGGGGAATGTCAAGCTATCATGTACTCGCTGGAAAGTAATTTGTTTGTTATTTTATTATGTGCACAAGTGGAAAAATCATTACTCTTCAGCAAAGTGTTCTGAATTTCCTCTGACGTTTATCAGCGATAGGACTTCATGCCATTATTTTTTTTTTTCCTTTTTCATCAAAAACAATTAACCGAAGCTAAAAAAAAAAAAAGCGAGAGCGGTGAATTTAAACTACAGGCAATTATCTATACAGAATTAATTATGGCGATACGAGTTTGTAACAGAATTTCACACAAAGTTTCATTAAACATATGACATGGACAACATTCAGGGAGCAGAGAATCACAACATTCTTTCCAACATACTGAAACGCTACATCGTGGTAGCGGTTCCCACACATCTCATTGTTTGGCCAAGGTTTTCCCCTCATACACTGAGGATGTTCTGCGGTTACAAATGTGGTATTTGTGCATATCTGTCTGCTGCCTTTGAATAAGTGGACCAAACTATTGGACATGTGAAAGAAAGGTCAGGGAAACTGTAAAACAATGATTAAATCACACCACATCACTCAGGCGGCGGACTGAACTGAAGGATCGTGTTTTGTTGCTACATAATATAGACCAGTACAAAAAGTGTTTATTTCTATGAAATTAACTTTTTAGATTATCAATACAGCTGCCTCAAATTGTCAACTCTGAATAATCACTTTGGTAAACTATGATTCCTCAGCATGCTCTTCCTCATTTCAGAAGCTACAACAAAAAAGCAAGAAGCCATCTCAAAAGATGCTGATTTCTCGCTGTGACGAACACAAAGAACCCCCCCGGACCCTTTAAATTATTATGAATCTCAGAATTCCTGCTGCTTTCATGTTGAAAGCGCATTTGCTCTTTGAGTCCCTCTATCCATCGTTTCCTGGATAATACATGAAATTGCATCTAAATATCTTCTGACAGAACAAAAAACCTCTCACAAGGATGTACAGCGTTCACCACCCACACCCACCTGTTTGTGTGATTCTGCTGTCCCCCGAGCCACTTGTCACCAACCGCCGTCGAGAGAGATCATCGCAGGGGTGTGAAGAAACACAATCTGCTTAACTAAACGCCCTGGTACTGCAAAGCAATTCAGTCACCACAATAGCAGAAGCGAATGAGTCTGGTTTTCACAATGCCTAATCCCCTCCACTGACGACCTCCCCTTTTCTTCTTCTTCTCTCCCCGTTTCTGCCCTTCTCAAACTTCCTGGGGAAGAACAAACACAGGCTCTATTGTCTGAGACACTGCAGAACACTCGGGGCCTTCATCGCCATGCAAATAGTCACAGCCAGGCTTACAAATGGATTTCTATCTCTTCACCCTCTCTGTTTTTTTCCTCCCCATTTTTGCGAACAATCCAGCGCTTATTAGAGTTGAGATGGAGCATGCAGGGGACGGTAATTCATCCACTGTATGACAACTATTTCTGCTAGTGATAGGACGGCAACAGTCTGTTTTTTGACATTCAAGCCGAGAGGGCATGCTGTTACTGCACGTTCCGATATGTTCGCATTTAAAAAATTGACCTGTCATGACACGGAGTATGCAAAATAACTTGAGACGTTGTTTGTCCTCCACAGTCTCCCGGATGTTTACATGTACATGTAATGGAGGGCCACAGTGGCAAATAAAGGGTGGGTCAAATCACCTCAACTCCTCTTAATAGAAAGACAGATCTATCACTCTGAAACA